GGCCTTAACCCTCTGCTGAGGTCAGTTCTGCTGCAAGCCGTCCCCCTCTTTCCTTTCTCCTGCTGCAACGGATCTAGAGCAGCCTGGCTTTTGGCAACAGGGAGAGCTGAGCTTTGGTCTGGCCCCTGGCAACAGCAAGACCTGCTTATTAAGAGATGGTGCAGAGGGTTCATTTTTTTCATCTGAGTAAGGTAACACCCACTGCTGCCTATCTAGCACAACCTCTCGCTGCTTGGTAATGCTGAGGCATCGCCTGTTTTCTGCAGCAAGAAGTAAAGAAATTATTTTTAAAAGGAGTTAAGTGGATTGCACAGTCTTGGATGGGAAAGCAAGGGATGGTACAAAGGCCTGGTGGCTCCAGCTTGCAGTTTCTGCAGAAACCGTTGAGTGACACTTGTGTCTTCTGCAGGGTGATGTAGCATTGTGTTAGAGGAACCGCCTGCCTGGCAGACCTGGAGCTGGTTAAAGGTCCTGCACAAAGGCTTTTCCAGCCTACGTGGCCTTATAGGACAGTCTTAATGTGGGAGAGCAGGGAGGTTATGGCTGCAGGCCTGAAATGCCAGCTGTAATTTGAATTTCTGCTGACAAGTCTTACCTTGTGAACGTGATCTAATATGCATGTGGTGTCAGCAGTGCCAACCCTGCAGTTTCTGTCTCTGCCCAAGATGCTGCCAGCACTTGAGCATGGCTTTGCTTTGGGCAAGTTCACTGGCAGTCCAGACCTGCTGTCAGGTCTGGCACAGAGATATGGGGATGGGTCAAAGAGGTTTGAAAAGCACCGTATTAAATCAACCCATGCTACGTGGTGACTTGGCTCAGCCATGGTTTCTGCCCCCCGCCCATGCCCATGAGCTCCCCGTGTGGCCCCATGGGGGGAGAGTCTCATCTTCTTCCACTGCATTGGTGTTAAACCCTGGTTTGGGGATGTGCCAACCCCCTCCCTGCTCGGTTGCTTTGAGGCTCCTGTCATGGTGGGGATGAAGTGGAGGCAGGCAGCGTGCCTGCTGGACAGCCTTCAGAGCAGCTACAGTGGTCAGCAGCCACTTATAGTGAAAAGTAAAATTTTCGCAATCTTCATGTATGTCTTTACTTCTCCTCCTTTTCCCCGTGTTGGGCCTGAATTGTCAACGTTACCCAACTTTTGACATCACCAAAGCTTGACTGTCTGGTTTGCCTCTTTGTCTCCCCACTGCTCGTCCACCTGTTGGCACCTCTGCGTCTCAAACATTTCTGAGTTGCAATGCTCTGTAAACAGGAAAGAACCTAAATCTTGGCTAATCCACCAGTCTTGCTAAAGACACAAACACAGGGAAGGCTGGCAGTTTTCACGGTGGAGGTAATAGAGCAACTATTATTTAAAACATCCTCCAGGGTTTCTGGGCTAATGCCACATGCCCAGGGCAGTCTCTTGCCCAGCAGTCAGCTGCAGGCTCAGAACACAAGGGGAAGCTAGCTTTTAGAAACTCCACTTATTTTTCTCATGCTCATTCTATTTGTCTCAGTGATGGCAAGAACCTTGTATCTTTGGTCTTGTGTGGGAAAGTAGAGAGCTGTTTGCAAGCTTCTGCGGGCGTTCAGCATGGGCCTTTTGTGGTAGAGGAAGGCGCAAAGCTGTCTGCAGCAGCCAGACCTTTGTGCCATGTGTGCTGGTCCAGAGTCAAGTTAGGGGTTTAACAAACGGAAGTTGACAAAAAAATCATCTTCCCTCTTAGATACTCACAGTTAATGCTTGTATTAACGGTCTTCTTGCTTGTGGTTGTCAGTGGAAATGGTAAAGATAAATGTAAAAGTTTAGATTCTTTTTCATAACAGAAAATCAGAAACATGCTTCAGTTTGCCTTTTTCTCTGAAAGTAACCGAGGACTCAAAATCTAACTGCATTCTCCTCTTGGCAAATCAGTTATAAAGGAATTGGAGCCAGAAGCAGGTACCCAATTTTCACATTTCTTTCCCCCTAATGCAGTGATAAGGTGGCAAATGCATGCAGAGAAAGCAGCAGGCTGCAGACTGTTTGTTCAAACTTTTCAAACCCATTTCAGAATCTTTATTTGGAAAAAAAAAAAAATCACAGCATCTCAACTGTTATTCAAACACATTTAATAAACAAAGAGAAACAGTAGCAAAGGGCACTGACACGTGACAAACTGTACAAAACCTCTGGGTTTGCAGGCAAACCCGAGGGGAGGAGCCCACGGCCCAGCTGCAGGACTGGGGAGCTGCTCCATCCCATCGCCCTGCAGCTAACCGTGCCCCCTTTGCCTCAGCCCACTCAGTCACCCCTGAGAAAAATTGATTTTTAAAAATGTGCAGAAACAAAGACACTTTAAGAGGTTATTTCCAGTCTTGCCATAATGGAACAATTTAGGCCACTGGGAAAGTTTAAAAAACCCAAAGTGTCATAGTCTCCATTCCCAGGATTAATGCTTTAAAGTGAACCTTCCCAAGAGGCACAAGCACTCTTGGATACCCAGTAGATCTACCCCTGCTCACCTACCCTACTCACCATAACATGCTACCTTTTTTAGAGTGAATGGGACAAATTTCATCCTAATTCAGCGCTAGTTTTGATATAGTTGTGACTGAGTGAAAGGCAATGGAAGGAAAAGCCCTGTCTTGTGCACAGAAGGGATGCAACTGGTGCATAATGCTGAGACCAGCCTTGGTCTCAGGGTACAGGTGACCTAGCACAGTCAGGAAAGGAGAAATCCTCCACTGGGAATGTACCTGCTCCAGATGGACTGCATGCCTGGTCCTAAATATCGCCTAAGAACTCGAGTGTCCAGTACCGATGATTGGTTATCTACCATAAACTTGTTCTGTTGAACTTCAAGATCCTGCAATTGAACCCCAAAAGTCTTCAACCCCCTGGTACGTCCTTGCTGCAGAGAGCGGCACAGAGGGGAAAACCAAGATGCAACTTTGATAGTCTTTCTTGTGCATGTGGGTTAAATAGCTGTTCCACTCAACTGGTAATGGTAATTTTTAGGCTCTCTGGCTCAGAGGGGAGAGTGATGGCATCACTCTTGCCTGAGGCAATCCTCTGGTGGACTTCACCACATATGGCATTTTTGGTGATACAAAAAAGCAACGAGGTATCGTTTTTATCTACTTGAGCTGTACTGGACAAAGTCTCCCTTTGCAACTAGCGTTGCTTTGAGCTCCACAGTTTGAACAGCAAGGTGCTCAGCTGGCAGCAATGTGACAAAAGCAGATCCACCAGCTCCTGTTGCCTTCAGTTTGATATTTCTTGACCAGTTCCCAGAAACTCCCTCCTCTGAGGAAGGGAAAGACAGATGACAGTGTTAAAGGGCTTTTTACGCTGCTAACTTGCATACATGCGCTTCTTGATTTCTTAGCTGTGAGCACAGATGGACAATGACTGAGGCTACAAGATACTGACAGAGGAGAGATATCTATACACATCACAGTGTTATTTAGGCCCAGCCGAGGCATACGGTCTAATCACACCAATACCATCTCACCACATTATAAACAGGGAAGATGGAGGGAAGAAAAAAGAGCTGGGTTCTTCAGCGTGATGGCAAGCCAGCTGCGTTTCAACAGCCTGTAACTGACACAACGTGAATTCAAAAACATTTGGCACAGTCTGTTGTTACCAGGATTAAACTAGCACAGAAAATGAATCAGTCCTTCTTGAGCGTGAGGCAAAGCCTCCACCGGAGGAGGTACGTTGGCAAAGCAGGACGGGAGGACAGGCTAGAGTACACACAGAAGGACTGTAAGGAGGCAGAGTGCAGCGGTGTCACTCACTGTCTTTGCTGCTCATCTTGTTTGCTGAACTGGTTGTTGGACCATTGGTAACACTGCGGCAAGGCCCTGTCAGCAACAAGCAGTAAGATGGGAAACCTGCTTAATTCAGTCTCAAAGCTTTAAGGAGACCACAGGTAGCTGAAGTCCTCCAGAAAGGAGCCCAGCACCTCAGTCCAGGTGAGGAATTTTTCCGATACCTTACTGAGAAACATCTGCTCTAAGCTTGTCAATGTCTGTGAATTCCAGCATCTCTGAAGCTTTGCATTTAATGTCAGTTTGGGACTTGACTCAAAAAGACCCAAGTGCCTGGACACTTAGGCTACAAAGAACAAAGCTAGGATGAAACGGGGAAAAACATGCAGCAAATTCCTAAGAAATTCCATTTACCAGAATAGGAGGGACATGCCCTTGGTTAGGGATGGCACAGATTAACAGAGAGGAACCAGTGACTGCAGTTTGGCTAAGATCAGAATTCAAGAGAGGCACAAACGAACATTTTGCACATCCATCCAAGGCATTCCAAAAAAAAAAAAAAAGAAACCCAAACCCCAAAAGAAAGAAAAGTCACAGAAGTCGACACATCACTTTGGACAAGAAACATTACAACAGTTTGGCAACTTTTCACCAACACCCCCCCCCCCCCAACTCTGTGATGCCCCTCTGTAATTTGAGGTGATCTCTTAAAGGTGGGGACGTAAGGGGGCTGCAGATGCATCACTACATGTAAATAGGGAATCTCCTCCACAAAGGATCTCATGGGTTAAAACAAACCTGCTCGCTACAGTACAAAAGAAATTCTGCCTGAAGTCCTCTCTTGGTGAGAAGGAAGAAGACAGAGCCTGCGCTGCCAGAGACAAACAAGGCAAAGCTGAACTTGGCAGCAACAAGTCCCTAACCTTGTGACTGCAGCAGGCTAAGATATGGCCATGGCAGGGTATTGGAGGGGAAGATGTCACCACTCTTCTTCAGCAGAGAAGCGTAAAGGACAGAACTATCACTCTCTCGCTATTCTGAGTGTACACAGGCCTCTGTTTATGCATGCAAAGTAATGGGCTTTGGAAAATGCCAGGAGCCCATATGTAATAGTGTTAACAGTGAGACCTGTGTTAGATGTACACATGACTCCACTCCCCTTAGTATCTAAACTCAGCTCTTCGGAATTGAACATGGAACAAATACAAAGCAAGAATGGAAAAAGTTTGTGTGGGTTTTTTTACGAGTGGTTGTTTTGTTTCTCCTTTTAAAGACCTGTTCTTCTGATTTAGGGGGGCTGGCTGATCCGGAGGGGGAGCACTGCAAGGTCCCTGCACTTTTCTGGTGGCAGACCTGGGTGCAAGAAATGGCACAGATCAAATACTGATCTTCCCACCTACGCCAGCCTGTGGAAGGTGGGACCGATTACAAGGGCCTGTGGACCTGAGCAACCTACGCAGAGGCTCCGACTGGGAATCTGGCCCAGCCATTGTTGGAAAAATTCAATACAGTGCTGGCCAAGAAAATAAAACAAATACTTGTGGAAAGGACTATCCAACTGGAAGAGCCTTTTCCTTCCTTGGTTTCCAGGGCAAGAGGGAAGCCTTTGGTTATGACCAGAATTATTCGCCATTGGCAGGACAGGCTCGGCTTTGCTTTGCATTAGCTTGGTTACTGTACAAGGGCAAGGTTGCACTGTGGAGAGATGCTCTGCCCAGCTAGACTGCCCTTTTGACATCTGGGAGTTTTAACGGAGTGGACACTTGAATTACATCCGCGATCCTCGCTCTTGAAGAATCTGAAAAAGAAGAGAGCTTCTATAAATACCTTGGACAAGTTTAGATGCAAAAGTTCATGTTCAGAGTCCTTTCAGAGAAAGGAAAGATGGACTAATGTGAGAGCAGCTTGCTGGCTTTTATGCTACCATAACAAATGACAGGCTGGTTAAAGCAGACTGAGCCCTTCTCTAGAAATCCTAATTAGCTGCCTGCCAGGAGTTAAGAATGTCGCCTTTTGTTGCTATC